CCGATCTCCACCTACTGTTGCCGTTGGGGTTGATCCACAGGATCTGCGTGTACCACAACGATATGAATATCATCCAACGTTGAATACATTTCAACCCATCAACACGCAGTTTGTGACCCAGCGTCATCCGACAACCGTCATCGCGTCGTTGGATGTATTATGTGATACCTAATACTTGATCTATACATAGATATGTATCTTGCATGTACATATATGTATTTATATTTAACTATGTATCCGTAGGTCTGATGTGGAAACTCGTATCACACATATTCAACCGCAATAGTTGTATTCACAACGCATACACAGCAATATTGTATATCTGGCGCACATGTCATTCGTAATTAGTTTTCACTAACGTTTCTCAACCATGTTAAAACTTTTATAAAATTTCTATATTTTAATTATTTTACTAAACATTTTATTTAAATTACATTATTTTATTTATATAATCTACATAAACTTTAGTTATTATGATATTTACAACAAGGTTAATTTATTTCACAATTTAATACATATTTTATTTTCTATATTTTCACATTTTACATTAGGCATTTACTTTAATTAAATTATATGTTTAAACAATATTTAGGCTCTGAAGATGGCATTACGCCGAAACAGCGCTGTTAGCTTTATTCCAGTTTTAGATAAATATGAACTCAAACAATACCGCCTCGTTGAATGTCTTATAAAGAAGTTAATTAATGCAAAATGGGCAAACAATTTCAATGAAATTTGCATTTCTGAAAACCTCGTTCCTAAATATATATATATATATATATATATATATATATATTACAATATTCTATAAATTTTACCGAATGTTTGGCGTTAATAAAATTATGGTCTATTACCAACATATATATATATATATATATATATATATATATATATATATATATATATATATAATTTAATAAGCGTTTTAAAATGATCGATAAAAATATACATATAGCTGTATGCTACATGATGGTGAATGATCGGAAATATAAATGGTAAAAAAATAAATAAGTAGATTAGATAACAATACCTCTATATGCAATAGACTAAAACAGTTTGGCATGAAAAGTGGAAGAGAATTTGAAAGTTACGGGCGTGGAAGCGAACGAAAGATGTGTCTTGAATAGGAAATGGCATCAAAAGAAAAAACAAAATGAATACATTGAACCTTAATTAAGCCAGAAAGATAGAACAGAATAAAAATTAAGTAATGTGCAAAAACATGCAAACATGCCGATATAGGGCTTTCATCGGCCGATTCTATTAATAGTACAAAGCATGGACAACTTAAATTAGAATACACCATCATTGCAAATTAAAATAATGTTAGACTCATACATAAATAAAATGAGATTAAAAAATTGACCTTTAGGTCTAACGCAACAATCCGCTGAACAGGGTTCATCGTCGTTCTCCTCATCCACATTGCTGCTAACATACGACAAGGAAGATTCAGAGTTGTTAACGACACTGACTTGTTCCAAGTTAGTTGATTTATCTGAAACCAATATTAACAAATTTTGATTTTTGTTGGTAAACCAATTCATTAAAAGGCATCGTTGCATCCGGGCACTTCATACACTTGTAGTAAATGTTGTTTTTGCTAGAAAAACTAAAAACATTTACTCAATGTAACACAAACTTAATAATAATTCAGATAGTAGTGAACGTAGTCATTACTTTCCCTAGTTCACAGTAATCTTTCTCACAATTGTGAATATTAATGTGGTACGTCGGGAAAGTTTTGCTGTAATATCAATAAAAAAACAAGCAAACTTAACAAAATAAAAAAGGTTTTAAATAAATGATCAATCAGCATTGCTCTTCATTCGAAAATAAGCATAATGATGATAGACTAGTGTACAAAATTGTAACAACAAAAAAAACAACGACAACAACAATAATAATGTGACAATGGTAGAGAAAGTAGTTGGAGAAATGAAACTAGGTAAGGCGACAGGGTTTCGGAAGTGACGGCGGAACATATAAAGGCGAGTGGGGTGATAGGAATTGAAGTTATGATGAGAATTGCTAACAGTATGTTTGATGATGAAGGTATACCTGAGGATTGGCGACACAGTGTGTTGGTGCCGTTGTATAAGGGCAAAGGAGATGAGAGATTGTGGGTCATATAGGGGTGTGAAATTGCTAGAGCACGGAATGAAGGTAGTGGAGAGGGTGCTTGAGAGGAGGTTGAGAAATATGGTGACAGTTAATGAAATGCAGTGTGGGTTTTTGCCTGGTAGGGGAACGGTGGATGCGTTGTTCATGGTGAGAATGTTGCAGGAGAATTATAGAAAAAAGAAACGAAGATAGTACATGTGTTTTGTGGATCTAGAAAAGGCTTTTGATCGAGTACCGAGGAAGGTCATTGAATGGGCGTTGAGGAAGAAAGGAGTGAATGAGAGACTTGTTAAAGCTGTGATGCAGCTGTATGAAGGGGCGAAGACAAAGGTGAGGGTCGGAAGGGGGATGTCGGACGCTTTTAGTAGTAAAGTAGGAGTGCATCAAGGATTAGCATTATCACCGTTTTTGTTTGCAATTGTGGATGGGTTGTTATTTAAAATTTTGTATACAGATGATTTAGTCTTGATGGCTGATAGCATGGAAGAATTGCAGTTAAAATTTGACAGATGGAAAAGTGTTATTGAAAAGAAAGGGTTAAAAGTTAATATTGGTAAGACGAAGGTAATGGTGAGTTGGGAAGGTGGGGAGCGAGTGATAAGTAAAATAGACTCCTGTGGGGTATGTGACAGGAGAGTGAAGGCTAACTCAGTATTGTGTATAGGATGTCAGAAGTGGGTGCATAAGAGATGTAGTGGTGTGAGGGAGATACTGAAAAAGATGAAAGGCACGTTCAAATGTAAGAAATGTGTTCATGGTGTTATTAATAGGACGGACGCAAGGACGGGGTTGAGTGGTGGTATTGAAAGAGTGGAAAGCTTTGTTTACTTAGGGGATAAGCTGAACGCGGATGGAGGATGTTTGAGCGCAGTTACGGCTAGAGTTCGTGGATGAAATTTAGGGAACTTGGTGGGGTATTGAGTGGAAAGAAATGGTCAGTGAAGATGAAAGGGAGGGTATATAAAGCATGTGTGAGAGCAGCGATGGTATATGGTGGTAAAACTTGGGTGTTGAGGAGAGAGGAGGAGGAAAGTGTACTGCAGAGGGCTGAAAGAGCTATGGTGAGGATGATGTGTGGGGTTAAAGTGAAGGATAGGAGGAGTAGTACAGAGCTGATGTCGATGATGGGACTGAATGAGAACATTGTGACATTGATAAGGAGATCGAGATTGCGGTGGTATGGACATGTGTTGAGAAGGGATGAAAGGGTCGGGATTAGGCGAGCGTCGGAGTTCGAGGTTGAAGGAGTGATAGGAAGGGGTCGTACGCGATTGGGATAGAGAGAGCAGGTGGAGAAGGACAGAGTGAAAGCGGGGTTGCGTGATACGGTTTCATCATAGGTAGCCAAACGGCAACCCCCGATCTCGGGGAAAATGTCGTATAAACGTGTGTTGTTGTTGTTGACAACAACAATAATAATGCTAACAAACAACATTTGCGATATTCATTTAAAAATCTACTAAATTGACCTAAAATGCCTGAAAAGGCTGTAACTTTATAATTCAACGGTGATTCCTTGAAGGAAAAGTTCATAAAAGGCTTAATTTTTAAAAACTAGGCATTGCATTTTTTTTAAACTAAGCTGCATCAAAATTTATATCTTCATATGATATTTTTAACCAGATAGGTAACTGATCGACAATCATTCAAACATCCATCAACAAAACGGAATTTTATTCTATAATAATAATAACAAGACCAAAAGATATTGATTGTCATTCAGTTGTGAACAAACTAAGACTTCATGAACAAATGATTAATGCCAGTCAAACCTTGTATTTTTAGACCATCCCTACTGCATCTTTTGTTTCGTTTCCTTGGATGACTTGTTTTCCTCGGCAACGTCTTTATGACATCAGGTAAGACGTCCTACAAATGACAAAAATTAGCAGTGAACAAATTTAATGGTGTTGATAGCTTAAACCCAAATAATCTCTACTACCACATTTGCATAACTCTTAAATTATCAAATAAACCATTTGAAATATTAACATTAAAACATCAAAGCATTAAACCAACAGGAAAAGAGTAAATGCGTGTTTTGAAGGTTGAGGCATCATGACATTGCAGTGCGTATCTAAGTAGGTACCTTTCCGACATGTGCACCTCTATCAAGTCACCTTCTAACAACAACTCCATCAAATTCTTTCGGATGTTTTCCGTGAAAAGAAATTTATCTGTAGGTAAAATGTCAAAAATTTTAAATTGTTGTCAAATTAATCTGTTGAAAATGTCAAAAATTTTAAATTGTTGTCAAATTAATCTGTTGATATTTGATTCAATTTGAAACACTTGATTAAAATTTTATTTATTAGACGCTCAAAAAAGTTCCTGAAGATACGTAGGTCAGGAAGATATGCATGCTAAAGCGCCATCCATTATGACAGGGAGTCATTAGTTGAAAAAAAAGGTTTGAATGCAAAGATATCCCATCCCGACCTATGATACGCTAAGGCGAACCAAGCATTTATTGCACATGTTTGCAAGTTATGTGTTTGAAAAAATCTAAAAAGCATTATATTTAAATAAAATTTTAAAAAACTGATAGAAAATTATAAATTTTCAGTAGCTAAAAGTTAAATTTATTACTAATTTATAGGAGTCCAAATTCAAATAATGAGAATAACAATAAACTCATCAACGTTTTAACTGAGTCCAGTAATTTATCAGGCAAGTATCTTATTTTGGTCAATTTCAACTTTCCTGGTATTGATCGGAATGCCAGAGTTCGTTTGGGTTTAGAAGAGAAAATTGAAGATATGTTTCTGCAATTTACTGATGATAAATAATTTCTTCGGATTGAAGAACCTATGTGGCACAAATTGGACCTTCAGATTAAAGGGTAACTCAAATGAATTTTATGATGTTGCCTTCAAGAAGCAAAATCTTGTAATGTAATAAATTCAAGCCGCGAATGCAAAAATAATTTAAGAATTATCATGTCCAATGTAGATTCTTTGTCAAATAAACTGGATGATTTAAAAATATTTGCGGAAAGCCTATATGAAGCACTTGATATAATCGCATTAAATGAAGTTAACCCCAAGAACTTCAGTACACTAGAACTTTGTCAGAATTCAGTCGAGATGGTTATTCAGTCTTCTCTTCAGGGTTTGCTGAGGTCAATAGAAGAGGTTTGCTAGTGTTTTATACAATATCATGAAATATTTCATCAAAAAAGGTCATTTTTCAAAAAGCCAATTTTGTTTCATCCCTGTACGTTCTGTGGTTTTCAACTTTTATAATTTATGGAAGAAATAACCGAGGGAGTGGACCAGGGTCACTAAGTCAATGTAGTCTACATGGATCTTGAGAAGGCATTTGACAAGTTTTTCCATAGTCGTTTGTCGTTCAAACATTAAGGGTATGATGTGAATGGAAAGATAGTAAAATAGACAGTAAAATAGATCGAGAAATATCTCAGCAACAGAACTTTTCAGGTCAAACTAGATCATGCCTTATCAGAGCCAAAATTGGTTTTGAGTAGGGTCCCTCAAGGTGGGGTTTGAGCCCGTTGCTTTTTTTATTTATATTAACAACATATAAATTGAAGTTCCAAAGTCATGTTTTGAAGGTAGTTCACAAAGAGGACTTTATCCTAAGTGTCATTACCAGGAATTTCAAATACCTTTGTGACGAAGCTTTTGTAACTTTATACAAGTCATTGGTGAGAACGCACATGGAGTACGGCGTCCAAGTATGGAATCCTTACTGAGTCGATTTAATAGAGGAGCTGGAAAAAGTTCAGAAAAGGGCAACGCGTGTGAGAACATCCGGCAGAGGTGATCTACCGACGTATGAAAGCCAACCTTGATTTGTTATAAAAAATAATACATGGTCAGCTCCCTGCCGATGTTGTCCTTACGTTACGATGTTCGTACAAGGGGCCATAACTTCAAGCTAACTATAGGTTCTAACCATAAAAACTCCCGTAAATTTTTTTCGAATAGAGGGGTGGAAGAATGGAACAAACTGTATTCGGCCGTTATTAATGCCATCTCCTTGAGCGGTTTCAAGTCAGCAATTGATAGGACTATATTGTTACCGTTTGGTATAGGAAACATAACAGTATTATGATATGAATAATAGTAGGATGTATGCTTGTGTGAGAGCGTGAGTTTAGGTGTATGTACTTATCTGACATTTCTGTTACATTTATAGTTAGAATTTTTTAGTTAAGGTTGGCTTATCCACAAGTTTATCTTTTTTAGTTATCCTTCAAATAAAAAAAAATAAATAAATAAAAAAAAATAAAAAATTTATATATATATATATCATTCATATTATAAAACTGTTATGTTTCCTATACCAAACGGTAATATACTGGATTAAGACTGTCAGAAATGCAATTACTGATGAAAATCACAGTATGATACGCGTTAGTTAACTCCCTGTTTAATTTTTCGATTTTTCTAACGTTAGATCGTAAATGATTGTCAAGTTTCTAGAGTTCAAAACCAAATTTTTTATTTATTTTGAGTACAATAGAATATTTAAGCATAATAGAACAAAAAAGCTTTTTCCGGTATTCCTATGCCATACCTGGTATTTGAATTGATACGCTGTGTATGTGGCCGAATGCTCAAGTATATACATCCTGTGCTCTACAATGTTAATTCTTTGTTTGTTTAATGTGAATACAATACTTAACGGTCATTTAATTAGTTATTACGATCTTCAACTTTGTGCAATAGGAAACTTTTACGTGTCATCATTATCGATGATTCCTCTGTTTTTAAACTGTTTTGAACTTTTGCACTTAGTTAAGGTAATCAGCCCAAGTTTTTTAAACTTCTTGATTGGCTATGATGTCAATAAAAATGTTGGAAATATAAAAATATATATATTTAGAATACAGACTATCAGATATACTGTTGTTTGGGAAAGTCACAGCATTTTCAGCGTTGCTTAATTTTCTATTTAATTTTTCAATCTCTCTTACAGTTGATTATTAAGTTTATTTAACTTTTACACATTAAGTTTTTAATGTGCATGTTAAAAACTGAAAAGATTTTATCAGAAATTCATATTTCCATTACCAACGTTAAATTTCATGTTGTTTACGTTATATTATGGAAAGATCCAGTTGTTTAATATTGATTCAAAAAGTAGAATCCTCATTCCAAGCAATAATAAGAAAAGAAATTATTTTATACAGTTTCAAGTTTTCTCAAACCCAAAAATCCGAATAAACGTATAAAAAATGAGAGCGTTTTAATTCAGCTTTAATAACACCTTTCAAGTCACTTTACAATTATTTCACAAAAAAACTACATCATCTAGAGTTTCTCATATTTTTTGCAACCCTTAAATTGGTTTAACTTATTACAGCTCCGATCTCTATCTATTGGGAAAGTTTATAAAACTTTTCATTGGAGTTAAACATTTTAACCAGTGACAATGTTTCTATTCATCCGCTTCTGAAAACTAAATTGCACGTGTCATAAACAAAAAAATGCACAGACTTAGTACGAACCATTCAAATTTCCAATGTCGTCCCCATTGGCAAGCATTCTCCACAGATTTTCCAAAACTTTGAGATTTGGTTTTCCTTTAATAAAGGCTTTCATTTTCAGCTTCCATTCTTCAGCTCTTTTCATCAAATTGCCCAATGCTAGTCCTTCCTGAAAGACAACTTCCAGATCATTGTTGTACATAGCTACAAAATTATTCAATTCGCTAGCTCGTTGCCTATTGGTTCGATTGCATCTCGGGCATAAAAAGTTGTCAAACGTTTTGAGGATGTCAAAAGGAGATAAGAGTGGAAATGATAGGGTCTGTGGGATGCAGCTGTATTCCACACAACTATCTGTTTTTAGGAATGGGGATGTGTTTCTTATCAATATCATTGAAATAATATGAAAAATAAATTGTGACATTACACAAACTTTGGCTAGCTAGTATAGATCGTATAGATCACAATGAAAATCAAACTTTCAATAATAGCATTAAATAACTTTTTAAAAAATCTTGTAAAAAGCTTAATGAATTTTGTAAAAACAACTTAATATAAAAAATATTTTAAACTTTTGTAGAACTGAAAACTTGAAAACGCGCAATTTTCATATAATAACTGCAGAAAAGTTTTGAACAAAAAATGCTTGAACAGAAGAAGACTTACAACAGGCTGTTTAGATAAAGACTTTGACGGCAAAATGCTGTTAAGCATGCCAGATAGATTAAGATCAAACGTGATAAGAAAAGATGGGCTATGTAATGGTTTTAATACTCAGGTGATCAAGATTCAGTGTGCTGTTTGTTTTAGTGATGAACATGGCGAGCATGGACATAATTAAGTAACTATCATCAAGAGAAATAACTCAAGTGAATGAGTGATTAATTTGATCTTGATGGCAGGCAAGCAAGAAATACTCAACAGGAAATGAAAGACCGAAGATTTGCGGATGGTTAATAGAACTGAGAAAAAAAATGCAAAAAAACGTTCACAAACAAATTGTGGAAAGGTGTAAGTGGTGGGCATAAGTGGTGGATAATGAAGTTGTTGAAACGAAATGTATAGATAATAGTGAATATCAAGATATAAGTAGGGAATGAGGCTCTTTTTATCAGGACAATATGCTGGGCAAGAACAAAAAACGAGAGCAATAATTGCTAGAATAAAAAACATGGTGGAATAGGTTTGTAGAAATTGAATCGCTGATGTGTATTTACACACTGATTAGTATAACGGGATATATGTCCTAAATAAGGTACTGCAGTGATTACTGCAGTGGAGCAAAACATGGACAGAAAAAGTGAGAGTGAATGATAATAATAAATTAATAAAACTAATGAAAATACACAATTTGTTGAAAATTCAAAATAACCCACAATGGTACAGCTCATAGCACAAAGAACATTTAACCATGCTGCCGTATTTTCCAAGGCCACAAATACAATGTCCTATTGAGCCACATGGAGATGCATGTATTTTTTTTTCATTGACTTGTCTCAACATTTGCATATCTGTTATCTCTGCTTTACGTAATATCTATCAAAAAAAATGAATTTAGTTTGTCATTTAAGGAGGCAATTCAGAATATCAATGCCACACTTTGATCAAAACAAAAAACTAAAACAATAGCAACTGAACTATGAAAGAATACATTTCGTCTCAACAACATCATTTATCCCCCTCCTATGCCATCCATGCTTCTATACAAAGCTAACAATCTCCTCAGTTTTTTTCAAGCATAAATACACAGCAAACACTGTACTTACATCGATTTGAAATCTCATCAAAATAAAAAAACGAAAATTTTCCTGAAATATAAAAAAGCAAAGAAACTGTTGAAGAAAATAACAAACCTCCAAATATTCGTCATCCAAATGTGGAAAGTCCAATGACGAAGAAGAGTTATCCAAACTGATGAAACCATCATCATCTTCATTATTGCTATCAACACAACTATTTTTATTGTTGACTTTTGTAGTGCTGTTCACAGATTTTGTTGACTTGTGAATGAGTGATGGAATGTCTTTACGAGGTAGCAGCATCTGTCATGAGGGAACGATTTCTTTTATTAAAATCAAATGATATAATATAATCCATTCATTCTAATGTTACTTTTAAAAAAAATTTTAAACTGTTTAGAACTATCAATCAATCAATCAATCAATCAATCAATCAATCAATCAATCAATCAATCAATCAATCAATCAATCAATCAATCAATTTCTAGATTGATTGATAGAACTGCATAACAAATGTCAAAGAAAAGCAAAAACAAGAAATGGTTCTAAATTATTTGACAATTTGTATGGTGACTTAACATTGTACAGAGCCGTAAAAATAAGTTAAAGCAGGAAAAATTCAGAAAATGATGGCAAGCTTAAGATAGTTATGAAGATGTTAAAAAAACAAACAACTCAAGTCAAGGCAACAAATTTAAGAAACTGGAGCCACCTGACAGAAGAAAAAACTTGTGCAATCACAAAAGAGATTTATTATAAAAATATATTTCATTTTGTATAACTACCATATAAAAATATATGTAAACCTTTAGAAGTGATTGTTGAGATGATTTGAGCAACATATGAGAAAGCTGAGCTATCCACCCTGTTACTTGAGATTTGATATTTATGATATTTTCTAACTGTGGCAATGATATTGGAATTTGTTGACTTTTTGATATGAGGTTGTCCAAGTCTTCCAACTTGGGTTTGACAACGGACTCGTCGTTTGAACCAGATAACATCAACATGCTTCTTCTTCGAGTAACAGGAGCGTTCTTAGTTCTAAAAAGTTGTGGCTGTAATAAAAAAATTTACAAAGTTTGAGTAAAAAGATCAGTTTGCACTGATGTGATTACCATAATAAAATATCCGTAAAGTTTCAAATTGGCCTTAATGATGGAAAAGTAATGTGTTTCACCATCCATCTAACCAGTCGTTTAACGACATTTTTTCATTTTATCATCAGTTATTCATTCAGTTACAACCCAATTAACTATATCCCTCTCCTCTATCATTCATAAATCCCATATAAGTATTTGATCTTTCATTTACTCACAAACATCTCCTCGGCAGCTGAGCACCACTCCTTTGCATCCTTCAAGGCTGAAGACAGCAGGCCAATGGAAGGAATGACCATCTTACTTTCTTGGCATTCAATCACCAGTCGTTCCACATCTTCAACACTTTGCCAGGGCCTATGCATCAAATTAATACAAAAATTATTCTTTTAAAAATACTCATCATTTTCTACAATGATAACACCCGTAAAATAAGATGATAAAGGATCATAACCAAAATAAAACAAAATGTTTACTTGTTAAACGTGTAAGTAGAAGCTTTGAATTCTAGTTTTTTGAATGTAGTGATCAGCTCTTCCAAAAACTCCAAACTACTTTCTATTTTTGGATCAGAGGTTGCAAAACTCAATCCAGTTTCACGAAGTCTTAAAACAGTTTCACAGGAAAGTTGAATGGTTTCGTTTTGAATGCATGATACTTCTTCTAGCCAAGATATTAAAGAAAGACACTGGTGGAGCATTGCAAGTTCTGGCACTTCAACAGGGTACTCGTAACATTGGTCAAAATACGAATCTATCAGTTCATTGTCCAAAGGATGTTTCTGTATATCAGTTTGCAACTTTTTACGGAATTTTTCAATTCTTATCGACAGTTCCTAAATGAAATAAATTAAATGATTTCAAGTTGAGCAAATTTCATTGATATTTTGAATAAGAAGTTAATAACATTACAATAAAAATAAATTGCCAGTGTGAATAATAAGCCAACCTTAAGTTTAGGAGCACACATCAACTTGAATGACAAGCGGTCCATTCTGTTGACAATCGTCATGAATTCTTCATACGACACTTTCTCTTTATCTTCTAGTCTAAAATTACATTGAAAATTTTGAATCATATCATCGAAACACTTCAAAGCTAAAAAATGTATGATTTGAAATACTGAGACGTTAGATCATGCCACCAGAAGACTTTAAAGCTAAAAAATGCACGATCTGAATTAGTTAGACAGACATCAAAAGAACATAGATTGAGAAATTGTGACGTGTATGCACTACAGAATAAAGTCTTGACAACATTTTTTCAAACCGCAACCACCCGCATCCGCCCGCACCACAACTTTCACATCCTCCGACATCCGCAACGCTTTTAATCTGAATTCGACTACGTCCAATCCGCGTTGACAAAAACATCCGTAATCAGCAATTTTATTTTCGGGTATTAAATTGAAAAAGAACAACACTGTGAGACAATTCATTTAGGGAGCAGGATTTACTAACACAAAGCCGGAATAGCGCATCAGTTGCTTATAACTTATGGCTATGGCTTCATAAGCTTTCCTACTCTAGTCAAAAACCCAGCATAAAAACTCTTTATATTACATACTTATTTACAACAAAAACAACACACGTTTAGACGACATTTTCCCCGAGATCGGAGGTTGCCGTTTGGCAACCTATGATGAAACCGAAATACTCCTCGACGCCATTCACATCTGTCACTCGCCTCAGTATCACGCAACCCCGCTTTCACTCTGTCCTTCTCCACCTGCTCTCTCGCGTACGACCCCTTCCTATCACTCCTTCAACCTCGAACTCCGACGCTCGCCTAATCCCGACCCTTTCATCCCTTCTCAACACATGTCCATACCACCGCAATCTCGATCTCCTTATCAATGTCACAATGTTCTCATTCAGTCCCATCATCGACATCAGCTCTGTACTACTCCTCCTATCCTTCACTTTAACCCCACACATCATCCTCACCATAGCTCTTTCAGCCCTCTGCAGTACACTTTCCTCCTCCTCTCTCCTCAACACCCAAGTTTCACCACCATATACCATCGCTGCTCTCACACATGCTTTATATACCCTCCCTTTCATCTTCACTGACCATTTTTTTCCACACAGTACCCCACCCAGTTCCCTAAATTTCATCCATCCCACACAAACTCTAACCGTAACAGCGCTCAAACATCAAATAGCGAAGATAACGAATATAACAAAAATAACAATAATTAATTATATAACGTAATTCTGATCATTCCGGAGGATATAACAATATAAGCATGAGCAGATTCATAATTTTTTTAAATTCATTGAAATGCAGCTCTGTCAAACGCATATACTTGTAATTAAACCTTCGAAGAACAAAGGCTGTAATGTAAATTTACTATAAATGGCTCGGCCCGACAGGTTAAAAGACATTTTTATAAGACAAAGTGCTTGTAGACAACATGAGGCAGAAGAAACCATGAAGTGAGATTAAATAAAATGTCCCTCAGAAATATGAGGCATGAGAGAAGTTAATGTTTTTCTATAATGCAAACTGGTTTGAACATGATTCAAATAACCGTTACAATAAGCTCCAAAATATATTGTAATACATTACAAAATGAGAAGTCATAAAACAACAGTAGATATAAACATTTATACTTCTTCATTCAAGAAAAGCAAATTTAAAATCAATCAGTAGCAAACAATCTAAAAAAAAAGTAAAGCGAAGTTAAACTAAAGAAGAAATCCTCTGAGAGACACCAATTAGAGTGATAATAATAAATAAGGATAGGGTGGAAATAAATTACAAACTTGCTATCAACTTCCCCGGCAACAACATCTTCTTCTTCGTCGTCGTAATCATCATAATCGTCAGCAGCCACACCTTTCTTTCTCTTACTTCTCCTTCTCTTAACTTTACGTCTGCTCACAATATTGCCATCGGGACCCAGCAACATGCAAGCCACAGTCTGACATCTTTCTCCAAACTCGCATTCCCTTTTCAATGCTTCCAGCGTCGGACAAGATGGGAAGTTGTTCTCGCGCGCCTCCTTCAATATGCACTGCATACTGGACAGGGCTATCAAGAAGGTTAATAAAAAATTATGCCAATTATATTAGTGATCACAATAGTGAATGAAAAATGAACAAATTAGGCTAATAAAATTGAAAACAAGAAAGTTAAAATACCGGCATTAAGAGCATTAAAGTTTTTTAAACAAGTTTTTTTATGGTTGGTTACAATTGGGCGTTATTATCAACTAGTGCTTTTTTGCATTAATAAACAGTAATGAAAAAATCATCTGTCAATCGAAAGAAAGGAAAAAAGAGATAGATGGAGAGAGAAAATGAAAGAGAGAAACAAAAATATAGAGAAAAATCCATCAATTATTTGTTATGAAAGTAGAAGACACGTTAAAATGAAAGGTTTCTTCAACACTGCAACAGTTTTAATTTTGTTGATATTCTGATTTTACTGTTGGTGAGGATGTTTTTCATTTTAGAATATGCATCTTTCGCCCTAGCTATCCTTCGTTTGATATCCACATCACATTTACAACCTGAGGTAATCAGACTTCAGAGAAAATTGAAGCTGTTGACTTGTTTCACCTGTTTACAATTAATGATTATAGAGCAGATCGGGGTGGTTTTGCTTTTACTGATAACCATGCACTCTGTTTTGTTGATGTTAATTTCCTTTCCTTTCACTTTCAAAAACCAGTTTTTTCATTGAATTTGCTATAAGAGCTGTACCATCAGCATATTTTACATTGTTTATATTCACGCCTCCAATAGATATTCCAGGTAGATCTTCTATCTTTCTCATGATAATCTCACTATAGAGATTGGACGGGTCTGGAGAGAATACACAACCTTGCCTAACTCTTTTTTTATTTTGACAAAACTAGTCATCTTGTTACTAACTTTCATTGCTGCTTTTTGTTCCCAATAGAAGTTTTTGATAACTCTCGTGTCTTTTCCATCAATGCCCAAACTTTTCAATATTTTCATAAGCTCCACGTGTTTCACGCTATCAAAGGCTTTGGAGTAATCAACAAAACATATAAACAACAAGTATTTCTTTATTTCAATCGCTCGATCATTGATCATTTGTGGCATAAAAATAGCGTTTCTTGTGCCACAATCATCAACAAAACCACATTGGACATTTGAAATTTTTGATCTGATTTTGCTTCATGCTCTCATTATCAGAATTCTCAAGAGAAATTTTGTAAGATGACTCGTCAAGTGAAAGGCAGAGATAGTTATTCATAGAGGATTTGAAGGGTGAAGGCTAACCACTGAGTTAGAGACTTACATGTGAGAGATCGAGAAAGAAAATCTTTTTGACATTCAAGCAGCAAATTGAATAAAAAGTTAGAGTTTTTCAAAAGTTGCCAACAAATAAGTTGGAAGAAATGATAATTTCCTTTATATTTAAAGTCTAGAGTTATGTTAAAAATTGAAACTAGATTGCAACGAATTCGATATAAACAAATTAAATTTTGATCAATTGGGTATAAACAAACAAATGGTAACAAAACTCTACATCAACAGACCAAATGGTTACCAATTAAAAGTGATTATATCAATGAAATTTTTTTGTCGATTTAAGGAAAAACAGAAATTGGCTTGAGAATGTGCACAAAAAACTGAGCTGTGTAAGAAAGAAAAAAGATGAATGAAAAACGTTGAATAGGCAGAAATTTGGAAAAAAATGAAATCAAGTAATGAAAATTAAAGCAGAAGTTGAAGTTAAGTAAGTAGCGCGAACAGTTGCGGATAATGAATGAAATGAGAAAAGTAGTAAAAATAACTAAAAAAGACTAAGGAGGGAAAAACATCAGTAAGTGTTACGAATCAAAATATTTTAATATGCTTAATCCAAAAAAAATAATAAGTTTAGCCAAGCATAATTGGATTTATATACAAGAATATAAAAAATGAGAAAATTAATTTCAAATTAGAAGAAATAATTGTATGTTAAAAATCAAACTATTCAATTTACCCATACCTAGTCTATCTCTGCCTTTTGCTTCCATGGCAATTTTTGCTTTAATTATCCAGCTCTTAAAACCATGCAGCTGAGTTTGAAGGTGATCAACTTTCTCATTGAGTTGTTCCATGGTGTATTTGTATAGGAGTTTGAAACTGGATGTAGAGCGTGAGGAGCACACACTAATGATGTGATGAAGGCAAATCATTTTGCGAGCTGTCAAAGTAAATGAACAATTTATTCATACGCACGCGTATGTGTTATTCTGCTTCTATGTGCACCAAATAATCATGTGTCTTAGGCTACCAGATCTATCATAAAGTAATTGAATAATTTTACACACACATTAACACGCTCAAAAAAATACAAAAAATCAAACACACACACACACACACACACACACACACACACACACACACACACACACACACACACACACACACACACACACACACACACATATATATATATATATATATATATATATATATATATATATATATATATATATATATATATTTTCGATTGAATATATTTATTCATCTGGAGGCGTTATCCGAACATATATCTATGTCCTGGTTATGACATTAAACTGACCCTCACTGCCTTGTGAGTGATGTTGGATCATCAAAGGCTAGGCCCACCGCTTATAACTGTGGTTGCGTAAGGAAGGGCGTCCTGTGTAAAAACTAGCCAAATAATAAATGCTTATGATGATGACGGAGAAAACAATGGCCCTCAGTATCCGGCAGAAGAGGGTGCGAAGAATCTCCGGAGACCCAGTCGATGGGGTTGTGGTGCAAGGCCCTGTGGATGGTCTGGCTACTGGCACCCCACTCTATAGTGTGGCGGTGCAAGGCACTATAGATGGAAGGACTACTTGTAGACCAAGGGGTTGGAGGTTTGGTACCTGGAATGTAGGCACGTTGACAGGAAGAAGTTTGGAAGTGGTGGAGGAGCTGCAGAGGAGAATGGTTGACGTGGCTGCATTACAGGAGGTCAGATGGAAGGGTGAGGGTACAAGGTTTGTGGGGGCTAAAGGTGGAAGATATAAGTTGTGGTGGAAGGGGGATGATGGTACGGGAGGAGTTGGTGTGATGGTAAGAGAAGAGTTGTTGGAGCAGGTGTTGGAAGTGAGGCGGAGAAGCAATGGGGTAATTGTGGTGGTGATGGTGTTTGGAAAAGTAATAGT